CGTGGGCTCTCCAAACCAGGGCAGTGCCAATTCTGGGCATCCATCCCCCAGAGAACCCCCTTGCCTCACCCCACAGGCACACAGGGACTTGTGGTCTTCACAGTCATCCCTGGGGCCATCCCAAAACCTCTCCGCTCCTGGGCAGCATGGCATGGCACAGCATGGCACAGCATGGTATGTCATGGCACACACATCTCAGCGGCATCCCCTGACTTAAAGGAATCCTCACAGGGGACCCCAAAAGTGGGCTTGTTCCTGAGATAAGGGCACCCCTCTGAGCAGGGCATCCCCAGCACTGGACCTGGGGTGCGCAGAGGCTGGAGGTGCCAGGAGGTGCAGGATGAATCCCAGCTTTTGGGGAGAGCTTGGGCAGCCATCGGTGGCAGAAGCAGCTCCGGGCAGGATTAGCCAGGCCCAGCACGCTGTCAATCTGCCTAAACCCGTCACACAGGCAGAGCATGCGGGCTGGACTCCGCCATTAATAGCATCTGTACAAGCTGCTCAGGGTTTCCGGGATAATCAGATCGCTAAAACCTTCAGGATGGTAACTACTGAACCCGAGCAATCAAGCCGCTGTCCTCCGGCAGCCTGGGGACGTGTGCTTGCAGCGAGGCGGCGATAGCATCGGCATTAGTAATGGGAACCCGGCGATATGGCTACTCATGGCTTAGCTCTTTCAGGAGCACAGCAGCAAAATGAGTACTTTACGATTATTTCAGCCTCCTTTTATCAAGTATGTGCAGTTCTCTAATTCCTCTAAGTCCCTCTGGCTGATATAGCAGCAGCAATCTGATTTCCCCGGCTCTCTCCAGCCATGGCACCTCTGGAGAAGGACATGAGGATCTGCTAGCACCAGCCTCAGGGACAGACCAATTTACTCCATGGGTGTCCTGGGGACGAAGCTTTGGGGCTGGAAAGGCCATGGGACATGGTTTCTGGGGCTGTTCCCAGATGGGCAGGGACAGTGGTGGTGTGGGCACGGTGGCTTTGCTGCCCGCTCCTCCCAGTGCTTTGAACTCAGGTGTCCCATCCCCTGCTGCTCTGCAAAGGCTTTTAGGGTCAAGCTCTTTGCTGTGTCCTTCACTGATGACACTGGGGATTACAGCCTGGGTTTGCTCTGCAAATTCAAGGTTCAGAAGCTGAAAAGCATCGTCTCTCGCTGTGCAGGTGCTGGGTCAAGGGCAGGGTCTGGAGGTGCCCTGTGTCCCCTGTGTGGGGATTTGGTGACACTGGCACTGTGGCCACTGGGCAGCGGAAAACTGCCCTAGAACGCGCTGCGTCCCTGGCCTCTGCAGACCGCAGCCAAGCTGCTTTTTGAGAAGGAACACTAAAATCCTATTTTATGGAGAACAAGAGCTGGTAGTGTGTGAAATCGTGGCAAAGGGGAGGGCTTGAGCTCATGTTTAATTGGTTTTTCTTCTGTTTGCCTGGCCTTGCAGTCTCATTCACTGTTTCGCTTAGTGCATTACATTTCGCCCAGTTAATGTGCCTGGGCCGTCACGGCAAATTCCAGGCCACAACCCGAAACCTGTGGCTGCGTGCACACACAGACCACGAGCAATAAACAGATCTACATCTGACCAGCGGGAAAACAAAGATTCTTCAAAAGAGCCAGATAAAATTATCCTAAGTGTCAAAAAACCAGGCTGTTTGCAGCTGAAGAAATATCACCAGAGCAATTAATCATTCTTCATAAGGGCAGAAGGATCGCATGGGTAGCAGAGCACAGACCAGTGAGGTTGGTTTTAGAGGCTGATAATTTTTTTGCTGATAGCAAGTTTCACAGAGGCATTTGTACATGTTCTTATGTATTTAAGGATGCATTTGGAGCAGCTGGCAGTGCTGCCCAGGCAGGTGGCTGGTACCCTGCAAGCACCCAGGTCAGTGCTGGGGGGCAAATTCGGCTCCCTCTGCCCTTTGCCACCACTCCAGCCCTAGGGACGGGGCTGTGTCCCCACCACCCACTGGAGCCGGCACGGTGCCTGCTCGCTCCCACGCACATCACGGTGCGCTCGGTACCCGCGCACTGCCGAGGAGCGAGCGCTTCCGACGGCGGCTGAGTATAAACTGAGAGGGTGTGAGAGCTGGCTGGAGACGTCCCCCCCGGCGCCGAGCTTCCTCCCGCGGTGTTTACGCGCCCGTATCCAGGCAGAGCCCAGAATAGACCTGGAGATGAGCTGTCGCTCCGCATTAAGGTCACTTCTGCTCCAAACCGGCCTGGACGTTTCTGTCCCACCTCGCAGGAGCAGCCACCCGTGCTGACGTGCGCAGCCCCCCGTGCTGTGTTGGTGAGGGGTGCAGGGGTGAAGGCTGGCAGAGGTTTTTGTGGATTTAGAGAAGCCTTTCCAGTCTCAAACTGTGTGTGAGTGCTCCTGGTCAAGTTACAGGACAACTCCCTTGTACACGTTGATGGCATTTACTTTCTCCAGAGCTTGGTCAGCAGATTAGATCAAGGTCAAAGCTGCTCATTTCTGCCAGCTGGGTGTCCCTCATTGATCACTTGTGCAGAACAGGATGGATTCTGGCAGCCAGGAAGGGTCCTGCTCATCCTGCCCTGACCCTGAGCCCAGCCTGCCATGGGACCAGGGTGATGGCAGGGAACGGGGGTGTCCTGCAGTGTGGGATGATGTTGAATGGCCTCATCCCATCCCACAGCATTGGGTGACATTGGACAGCCTCATCCCATCCCACGCTGTTGGGTGATGTTGAACGGCCTCATCCCATCCCACAGCATTGGGTGACGTTGGACAGCCTCATCCCATCCCACAGTGCAGGGTAACATTGAATGGCCTCGTCCCATCCTGCACCAGAGCGTGTGGGATGGGACCCAGGTCTGGCAGCACCAGGAGGTGGCAGGCAGGGCTGGCAGCCCAAATCTTGGGGGCACGCTGAAGCACAGCTCTGGTTTGGGGGGGTCAATGCAATCTGGAGTTCAGACCATCAATTGCTTCTCTTTCTGGTAATGTGGAATATGCCCTCATTACTCACTGATGCCAGGGCCCCCTGTGCCTCCATCTCCCCATCCCAGTCTGGCTGCGCTCGCTTCCCTGGAACACACATTTGCCCTTTACAAACCTAAGCATGTTAAGTATCTCATTACAGAGTCGCTATACATAGTGTTTTATTTCATGCTTTGTTAAGGGCAGAATCGTTTAAATGCATCCTGGCAAAGGATCTAATAAGAAATTAGTCAACTTTCTGAAAGCATAAAATATCGTTTAATGGCAACATCCATTAAGAATTAGAGTTCAGATGACAAATAACCCGGGGATGCTGTTTTGCTGTTTCTGGAAGCACTGGCTTAGGGACTTGTGGTACTGCAGGAACACTCAAACTGTCCCACTGTGAGCTGGTGTCCCACCATGTCCCATCTGTCCCAGCATGTCCCAGCATGTCCCACCGTGTCCCACCGGCCAGCGAGCCTCCTCTCCACATCTCCCAGGGCCGTTCTGCCTCCTCCATGCCTGACAGCCACATTTCCTCACATAATGGAGAAACCATTTTGCTGCAGAGCCCTAAAGCCGATGAGCTGAGCCACAGCCAGACCAGTGGCACTGGGAGAGCACCCATCCTGGGCTTGGTCTGGGAGAGGAAGCCTAGGGCATGGGAGAGCCTTGCAAAAACGTGTGTGAAATGTCTCCTAATGTGCTAAGGGAATCAGCTAATGAATTTGCTGAAGCCCTGCTAATTAAAGAACTAATTTTTTAACCTGTGGGAAACATAACAGGAGAGGCGAGGCAGCCCTGGGTAGCCAGGATGGGGTGGGCTGTGGATGGGTCTGCAGCTTGGCAAACTCAGAGCGGGGAGCAGTGGTTTGGGGTGGGCACGAGCATGGCCCCACTGTCCTGGGGAGCTGGCGGGGACCACTGGGACATTCACAGCCAGGCTTTGCCACCCCACTGCCATTGTGGTAATGGCACCGGTGCAGGTGACAGTGCCTGGGTCCCTGGTCCATCCATGCAGGTGCTGCACCACGGTGTGGACAGCACGGCCTCAGCGGCTGGGTCACGGCAAAACTCATGCTAAGGTGGCAGAACCAGAAGTTGAAATGTGCTAAAATCCATGGGGCAGGTCAGTGCCTCCGTTTGCAGTCGTGGAGGGGAGTTTGTGGCCGGGCAGCACTGGAACAGCCATGGGTCCTGGGGCTTACAGACCCCTCATGGGCGCCTGCCCTCACCAAGACCCCACGTTTTGGGGCCGAGATGAGGGGGCTGGAATTATGGTCCTGAAGTACGGCGCATTAAGCACCTTCCCTGGCAACTGCTGTTTCCATGGAAAATGTTGACTCTCTGCCTCTCGGAGCTTTCCACAGCGTTTCGCAGAGCCGTGGTACTGCTCACAGCCTATTTCACACCTCGGACCACTGCCTAACTAGACCCATCGATGGGGAGTTTAATCTGTACCTCGTGCAATTAAACTCCCCAGCTGATGCGGTGGCGGTGCAGCTCTGATTACTCTTTCTTTCCCGTGCCTTGTTTTGCCCGACACAAAAGGCTGGTGGCCGCCCGAGGAGAGGTTGTGCCGGTGCGAGCAGCGTATTTCGGTGGGGGCCGGAGGAAGCCGCTTCATCCACGTCTGCTCCCTGCCATGCAGCGGTGTGAGGGAGACAATGGGAAAGGGCCACAGCCTAATCAGGAGCTTTGAAATGGCCTTGTTTGCTGATGACAATTGCAAAAATAAAAGCTTTTCACAGAGACTGAGCCAGAGCAACAAACTCAGCAGGAGCGAGTGAACCTCCCTGAACAAGTGACCTCCAGATAAAGAGACCAAATAGCAGCTCTGAAATGGCGAGATAAGGCCGCCGACTTTCAGCAGAAACACAACTTTCAGGGAGTCGGTGCAGGCTCATTATTGCTTCCCGATAATGAGCCCGTTTGGGAGAGCGGCAGGCTTTCAATCAGCCGCAGCTCCCCGGGGGGCTGATTTCATGCCACCAGCACCACTACAATTTCATACCCAGAATTGCCCCAGTCCCACTTTTCCCCATTTTTTTCTTGCAGACAGCGGATCAGGGGCAACGTTGGTCCCCGTCAGCCCGGATCCTCTTGTTGGGGATGAGCTGATGGACAAGACGGCCAGTGGAGCCAGGGAGCTCGGGCATACCATGGGTTCAACTGGGGAGTTCGGACACACCACAGGTTCAACTGGGGAGCCCGAGCACACCACGGGTTCAACTGGTGGAAATGAGGAGCTGGGGCACACCCCGGGTTCAGCTGGGGAGCCTGAGCGCGCCACTGCCCTCAACCTGCTGCCAGCTGCAGAGGATGTGGCCAAACCGACGCCAGCGGAGACAACGCTGCTGGTGCAGAGCCATGTCCTGCCAACACCCACCACCGCCCCCGACGCTGATGCAAAACAAACTTTCCCTGTTAAGAAAAAGCCGCCTACGCTAAAGCAAGCAAATAAGGCAAGGAAGCACCTGCGGCCCAAGCCCACCCTGCAGGGCCCCCCCCGGGGTGCCACC